TGAATGCACTGATGAAGCTTGCAGGGTTCAGTACCTCCAATAAGGTTAAGAACCACTGGCTTAGACTGATTATAGTATACAACTCTGTGCATATAGAGTTGACTCTGACTGAGCTGACCCAATGACGTGTCAAAATGATTGACATACTGAGATTGTAAAAGACACATTGGAATAGTGGTGCAGAATGAAGCTATTCAAATTAACAGGATTTCGTTAAGAACCTCAAGCCCAGTGCGTCTCACACAGTGCAGTCGCTAATGAGCAAGTATGTGGTTGGCCGAACCTACCTGTACCTACTGAAAGCTAACTTGTCACTCCTTCCAGCAGTTACAAATCATGCTCACCCTTTATGACACGTCAGCTCCTTTCTGCATTTTTACTTTAACTGACACTTTGAGTCCTTTCAGTGCTTAAATATTTTACAAGTGACACTCGAACTTCATTTAGCACTCAACGTCACTGTGACGATTATTTCAGCAATCAAACCCTTAACGGCCACTTCAACGTCTTTGACCACATCTGCTTCTTTCAGTACTTCAAATCAGGTGAAACTTCAAATCTGCATTATTTATTTTAAGAGGTTCAATTTCAGGTAGTACTTACACACAACCAAATTATAAAAGCTCCAAACAATGAGTCATTAAGGCAACATCTTTTATCATTTTAAGCTTTTCAACTACAAATTGTCAGCAGAAGCAAGTGCATGTATTTTTCAAAACAACATAAGACTACAGCCTTACTGATTAGCTAATGATTAGCTACAGGTTAGCAGTATATAGGCCAATGTAAAAACATATGTAACTGAATTTACTGGGAGCACTGGTTCATGCCATAGTACAGCCATTCACACTGGCATGTTCTCAACACAATACTGAAGACACCAAACATGAGCAAGTTAGCAACTAATCCTGCAACAAGTTAACATGGTTGCATCTGACATGCACTCACATTTTCAGGCACTTTCATTTTCACAACCTTGGAGTTGGTGGTCTAGAAATGTTACAATGTGTGTGTGATTTTGGCAGGTGGCAGTTATAGACCCATCAAAGTCAATATTGGTTCAGTCTTTATATCTTTATCCAGCGAGACTCTCACAAGTCTTAACAGAAACAGGTGGTGCATTTTATAAAGCTGTATATAATGCAATGAAACAACACAGGATCCATGCGCAGGATCGAAAATACAGCTTTGTATTGCACGGTAAAAATCCATGGTTCAAGATTGCAAAAGGACTCCAATGGCATGTACTTAGAAACTCTCAGAAATTCAAAATTATGAAAGTGGAAAACACACAGTGATAAAGTAGACATCCAAAAGAATGCTCATAAGTGTAACAATCTGAATGCCACAGAAAATGTCACATTCTGGTCCTAACAAATGAACATCTTTAGGAAAATCCTTTCTCATCATGGTGGCCATTCTGGCTATCTATTGCAAACTTTGCACTTGCCATCTACATTTGGGAAACACTGGGTTTGACAAAACAATTAGTGTGATGCTCCTGAAGCCTTGACAGTTAAATTAAATGTAACGTGAATCACTTCAATTGCTCATATTTGAGTTCAATCAAACGTAAACACAAAAAGCAGCCCCTGGACTTACTATTGTAGCTGACCGCAATCTATATCCAATTTTGGTTTGGTTGTTTTGCAAATGTAATTGACATTTACATTTCGGACAATTCTCTCTTTTTTATCTGACACTGTCAATCGTTTGCAGCTCTGCATGTCATGTACTGTAACTACATTTTCAATGCTGTGTGAAAGAGAGTAGCCAATTTAGCCTGGAAAGCTAACAGTCAGTAATGGATGGCATGAAGCAAAAACAGTAGGCTCTGGTCTAGTTGTTGGTTTGTGTCTCATTCAATAAGTCACGTTTAGTTCAGAAGAACTTGTAAACGACCCTTAAGAATTGTATCTTCGACCATTCTGTCAGAAAAAGGAGATCCCCTCTCTTTCATCAATTATAGTTGCTAATATTTGGAGGATATTAAGCTTTTTACGATCACATGATTAAATTAGCATCACAACTGTAATGCTTACAACTGCTTTTTGTTGCTGAGACAGAACAAAATATCACTGAGGAACACCATGTCTGGGGGTTAAATCAATGCACTGGTCATTCTCATACCACTGTTTGTGGCAAACATCTATGGCCTTGTTTACACTGCCAACCCAAATCTGTATTTTGTTGTATCCAGATTGATTTCAGAAAGTCTGGAAAGCAATATAAAACAAACATGAAATGCGATTTTTGGTAATTGGAACCAAATCACATTTGGAGGTGGTTTGAAATGCGGTTCCAATCGGATTTCTACAGATGCGTCTCAGTCCGGATGCTCTGGCCGCTCAAATCGGATTTCAAAGTGTGGATCTGTTCAGCAGATACCTTGCTGTTAGTAGCAGAGTTCTATGGAAGACAACATGGAGGAGAACAGCAGACCCCACTGCAGACTGCTGCTTCTCCTCAAAATTGCAATGTATTCAAATGTTGGTTCAAGGGCGAATGCTTCATTCAGCATTGGAACGCCGCGTAGCTATGTAGTTACTGCCGCCTACGTCGTTTCCACTGAAACCAAATATTTTGGTGATATCTGGACACAAATCCAATCTGGCAAATAACAGTGCAGACAGTCTTTCTTAAAGAAGTGATTTCAGGAACAAATTGGATTTTTCTGTGGTAACAATGTAGCCTATACTATAATTATTACTTTTGTAAATGCAACGTTCGGTCCTAATTTCACTTTTCATGTTGTAGCAAGCTATAGACAGAAGGGTGCGTTCACACCAAAAGTAGATTACATACAAAGTCTATGCACAGATGCGATGAGACTGGAGTGAAGCAAATTCGCGTCAAACGCCAAATCACCCCAAACGCGTGAGTTTTCAACTTCAAATTTTTCAACTTCGCCAAAAAAATGGCGTGACGCTGTGGCGCAATAGCCAATCAGCGTTGAGATGTTTCTCCTGTCATCACTGACGTCCTGCCGTTGTTGAATCAGGAAATAAATACTGTAGCCGTCTGTGTTCACCCAGAGCTCTACGATACCTCATATCAACAGAGACCGGACCAAACAATGTGTATAAATGTGTGTGTGTAAACCATATGGTACAAACAATGAATAGACGCTGCCGTATTTACGTCTAGATGACGTTATTATGAGTGTTGGTGGAGCTGCTAGAATGTTAGCTTACCCTAGCACCGATCGATCCGAGCTCCATTGAGAAGACAAGTACAAATCGGCATCATTACGTAGTTATTTCGGTGTCCCTTTTTTTCGGTTTATTGCCGTTAAATCACAGCCACATCAGTTTATTTTGTGTTCATACAGCTGTAGTAAACAGCGACGTGTGGCTTGCTAGACTCAGTGAATACAGCTAGATACTATGTTATGAACCCAGACATGACGGCGTTTAGTTTCCCGTGATATCTGGGACTTCCACAACACGTAGTAAGCAGAAATAGAGGTTATTTTTTCCATGGTTGATGGCGTACAGTTGAACGGCTTTCAGGGCGATAAGCCACGCCCCCTTGGATTTAGAAAAAGCCATGCTGTTAGTTGTGAATGCTGCTTTACGATAGACAACTCGAATGTGAGCTTGGCAGTCGAATCAGGCCCCTTCGATCACAACTTCACATAGTTGACCACACCGGGTCACCCCTACGATGAACGTTACTCACGCGCACCGCTGCTCAACGCTCATATAAGGAGAATTTGCGGAAGAGAAAGCTTTGCATGCATCCGTAAACCCAGTCATTTATTGAATTAGCTTAGCTGGCTTTAATAGTTGAACGCTTAAGTACACATATTGTCAGATTGCTGCACTTACTGACACTTTCCACGCATCATAGCGTCAGCTTGCTTTACAATAAAAAAGTTGTTTTAAATTTGTGTTTCGTAAAATTGCACATTTATGCTATTTGTTCTCGTGGTTATTTTCCTCAAAGTACAATCACATTAAGTTATTCCTGGCAGTGTGGATCATTTAGATCATTATACTGCATTTGAACGGTGGTGGGTGATGATAGCCTACTTCAATTCTTGCCTTGAGTAAAAGTTGTGCAACTGTCAAGACTCTGTTACAAGACAAAGTCCCGCTGCTTTTCTGCTGACTATGACTATGTCAACTGGATAATGAGTCGCAATGGAAAAGCTATGAAGCTATGAGCTGCTATGCTCAGCACAGTAATAAACATTAGAATAAGAGTTTCATATCCAGCTGCTCATTGCTTGACAGTAATAATATAACAATGATAATATTTAAAAAAACGAATTTAATATAACCCATATAGTATCAGGGTTATATCTAATATTTCACTATAGTTTCAAAATGACACATCAAATATATTTTAATGTTAAATGTATGTTACATTTAAATATGACAGCCGATGTCAAAAAGCACTATAAGCACACATCTGGAGTAGAGTTATGAAGCTATAGCCTCTGAAATGGATGATGCTACGTTTCACACCTTTCTAGGACTTGAATAAATGTATCTTCTCTCCATTTCAATTCAATTTAATTTAATTTAATTTATTTGTATAGCCCAAAATCACAAATTTGCCTCAGAGGGCTTTCATATTGTTAAGTGATCCTGTCCCAGGACCCTCACATCGTTACAGGAAAACTCCCCTACAAGAAACCTTTAACGGGGAGAAACAAAGTAAGAAACCTTAAGGAGAGCAACAGAGCAGGATCCTATCAGGATGGACAGAAGTGTGATAGATGTCATGTGTACAGAATGAACAACATTACATTGTTTCTTGCTGACAAAAGCTGCAGAGTTTCTCACGATGGCATAAACAAAGCAAACAGAACGTTTTTCACACTTCAGTCATGCAGGTCCTCATCTTTACTAAAGAAAACAATGATGGATCTACATCCACTGATGACATGAAAACATGCACAGTGAGACAATACCTCTCGTCCGTAGTCAGACCATACAGATACACTGGCTAGCTTCTCAAGAGTGATAACTCTCTTTCTTTCTTTCTTTCACCTTATTTATAAGAGAACTCGGGTCCTGTCTTGGCTCATGGATCCCTCCTTTGGTGCAGGTGGTGATATATCCAGTAGTTAAGAATGAAGAAATAACAGCGTTGTCCTCCTGAGAGCCCGTAAACTGAAGTCATTGAACGCACTATTTGCTGCTGTGTTCGGTCTCCAGCGTCTCATCCACACACGGTACTTGGACTCTTCCTCCGAAACACTGGCCGGACGGCTCCCGTGACGTCAGTAGCCTCTCCACCAATGGACCGGCTGCGACAGTCCCGCATCTTTCACTGATATGACAGTACTGCGGCTTCTCAGCGACACTGGTAGCCGCCATCATAATCCGCTTAGTTAGTTTCTCACTGTTTGATGGTCCATGGTGGTTTGGGTGGTCCGAGGCTCGTTTGAAAGCTGAATTAGAGTTGTTGAGCTGTAGTGCTTAGGCTGACTGTAGAGCCATAAACGAAATAAAATTTTTAAAAAAACATTCCCAAAAATAAACTTTCAACAACTTTAAAAAATGCAAATCAGCGGGGAAATAGGACTAAAGGAATTCCTGGCTTAAATAAGAGAGGTTTAGCATTCATACAACACTAACTGATGCCATACTGTTTACATTGAGTAAACAGAAAACAAAAAGTGACATGTCTTATTTATTTGCTCGATTACATATTGCCTATTATTGTTTAATGTGCAACCAAGCAAATATTTCTTATGAGGCTACATACCCTATTCTCTTACTTATTAAGAATCTGAATATATACAAATACATTATAGACTACTGGGTGATTTGTCACAACAAACAATAGTCAGTAGAAGAAAAGTAAACCCGTTACATTTCACAACTTTAATTACAAAGTTTAATAGACTATTTGCATTTCTCTGCGTGTTCTCATCAAGGCTGTGTGTGACTGATCAAAGCTAAAGAACAATATCAACTAAAGCACAATTACCTGGGGCCCTGTCTTGTAGAGGGGCCCTGTGTCAAAATCTAGAAATACATGTGCGTGGAGGTTCATTCTTGACCAAATCGTAGTTTGACCAAATAACTAACTCCAGGTCCACTCTCTAGATTTGATGGGAAGCTCAAAAAAAGGACACCTTGTGACAATATAGAGGAGGCTGGTCCATAGAGGCAGTGCTCGCTCCTCTATTTGTGAACGGGAAGAGGGAGATCAAAATAATTTTATAAAGTAGCTTTAAAGAACATTACCAAATCTCACGGTCATTTATATGTTTTTTTCTCTCTTCTTTAGAAAAAAAAATCCATTATTGCATTGCTGATTAAAATGCTCCAACACTGACACCTACAGGGCAGGCAAGGAAGTGAGGGGGGGGGGGGGCCTCCTCCTACTGTCATTCTTAGGGTAGAACCTCTTATTGTTAAGGGGTAGTGTAGTTGGTGGACCCAAACGCACGCACACACAGCAGGTGTACTCCAGCCAAGACTTTATTTAAATGTGCAGGAGGAGTCAAAGAATGAACAAACAAAAAAAACAAAGACTAACTGTCCAGCAAATTAAAGTCACTCCTCTTTCTCCACCGGAGTCGGGAGGGAAGCTCAACCGAGGCCGGGACAGGTAGCCTCCGGAGTCGGGAGGGAAACTCGACCGCACTCAATACTGGAGTAACAGAAAAACAAACAGATAACGATCTTCACTGAATCGTGTTCAGACTTACGTGACCAGACTGGTAACCGGACGGACTGACGACGCGCCGGTGAAACGGAGAGGTATTTAAACCAGCCAGCAGCGATCACTGGAATGAGCCACAGCTGAGCCTAAGGAGAGAGGCGTGAAGTGGGCGGAACACGGGGTGGAAACTGGGCTGACACAAAAAACAAAACATAAGCACATGGCCCACAATAACAAAACAGACAGGGGGGAAAACAGAGGAGCACACACTAGGAGCAGACAGGGATCCTAACGCTTATATCAAGTTAAAGGAGCAGTGTGGAGGAAGTGGCATCTAGTGGTGAGCTTGCAGACCCCGCGCTCAGACCTCCCTTTCCAAGCCTGTTAACGAACTACGGTGTCCTTCATGGAACATAAAAACGTGACCGGCTCTCCCTCGAGCCACTATTTGGTTTGTCTGCTCTAGGCTACTGTAGGAACAGGGTGGCGCACCATGACGAAATGTTCATTCTAAGGTAAGGAAAACACCTAAATATGTAGACATTTTCACCTGCCCATCAGGACCTAAACCACTTCACATTCTTACACCGATGGCACAGCCTTCAGGAGCAATTTGGGATTCAATGTCTTGCCCAAGGACACATCAAAGTGCGGACGAGAGGATTGAACCGCCGATCTTCTGATTGGAAGAGGACCCGCTCTATCCCTGAGCCACAGCCGCATTATTGTTTTCACATTTGTCTCAGTTGGGAGTGACATCAAGGTAGAATCTTGACTATACTGTATACTGGTAGAACGATTCTTTCAGTTTAACATTACTTTGACTGTGCTGCCACCTGCTGGTATATTAGTTATGTGCAACTCATCAAGAAGTTGCACATAACACAACTCAACTATTCAAAATAACCATATTACAGTTAAATCAAAAATACCATTTTCAAAAATCGAAATTGTTTACATTGGACTTAAAAATGACTGAATTACATACCAAGTAAGGCAATTAGGCAGAAATATCAATTGAAGTGGGAAGCAAAATCAATAAAATACCCGGGAGTGCTAATCACTCAGGAAATTAACAAAATATATGAAACAAACTACAATAATAAATGATAGGATACAGAAAGATATAACAAAATGGTCAACACTAGTATTGGATTTTAGTTCAAGAATTGAGGTGGTGAAAATGAATGTACTGCCAAGGTTGCTGTACCTCTTCTTACCACTACTGGTCAGAATCCCGGAATCTCAATTTACAGCATGGTACAAACAGATATCCCGGTTTAACTGGGCAGGAGCAAGGCCAAGGGTAAAATGTAAGACACTCCAAATTGACAAGGAAAACGGAGGCCCAGCACTGCCAAATCTCGGAGAATACTATTACGTGGCTCAATTGAGATACATTGTTTATTGGTGCTCCCCGCAGTGTCAAGCTGGATGGAAACACATTGAGCTAAATCTGGGTCAATCTCATCCTCAGGCCAGGCTAGGTGGAAAAGAATATACAGAACAAAAGGGTGAAAATTCCATTTTAGAAGATTCACTGAAAATTTGGAATGAGATAGTCAAAAAACACAATCTGGAAGGAGACAGTAAACTTCTGATTTGGCCTTCTCAGACCCCTATTTAGAGCTGGAGTGATAGATAATACATTTGTACGGTGGAGAGAAAAATTAATAACAGCGGTATGTACACTAGAAGGAAATTTACAACTAAGACATTTCTATGATACAGAAATTAAAAAAGGAATTTGAGCAGAAGGTAACGAAGTGATTGAAGTCTTGACTGGTGCATACAAACAAACCCCCTCAAAGTTGGTTTCCAAACTGTACAGTTTACAAAAACGAAACGGAAGAAATACACTATACGTAAAATTGAAATGGGAACTAGAATTGAACATTAAACTGTCGAAGAGTGATTGGCATTCCATGTGTAGAACGCAACAAACTTCCACTAGCTCTAAAAGATGGAGGGAATTCGGTTGGAGGAACTTAATCCGCTTTATTACACCCCATATGAACCATAAACAATTGGGTAAAGAACAGCCATGCTGGAGACAGTGTGGGCAGATGAATGCTAATCACTCACATTTTTTCTGGACATGTATAAAAATACAAACATTCTGGGACAGAGTTATTAACTACGGAGGGTTATCATATTAGGACAATTGTTATTGCAGAGTGCCGAATGTTGTTGTGAAAGAAAATAAGTTATGAGTCTTTGAAATCTACAGAGAGGAAGCTTTTATTCTGTATTAAAAAAACAACTGACCGGAAGTCTCCTTTTCCGTTGAGCAACAAGCAACCTTGATAATAAAAAGGGTTCTGGCTGCTGCTGGATAATTACCCTTCAGAATAAAAGCGCAAAAGTCATGCTGTGAGATTTATATGAATTAGAACAATCATAACATAATTTCTATCTATTTTTATATTTGCATTGAATTATAATTAATTAGCTGTGCAAAAAATAACGGCTGCAGTTCTTGACTCTGAAATGATGCTTTCAGTGTGAAGAAAGAAAAACGTCTTGTTCTTGAGAGAGGAACACACAGACACGTCGATGGCGAGTGAAGTTAGAAGGAAAGCAACCGTCTGAACGTGAACGGTAAACGTGACGGGCAGTCTGTTTCACTGCGGTCATGTGGTCCGTCATCCGCGGAACCTCGGTCACGTCAGCCGGCACTTGAAATGTAATGCTCGTCTATTCGAGGTGCTACGGTACGGGTGCTTTGATAGCCAAAAAGCCCCGAAATAGACCTATATTTCATCAATAATTTGTCCAATTTGATATAACAAGTCAAAAACAACGTCATTTTGTACATTAAGTGAAATAAAACAATAATAAAATCTGAAATTACACTGCTGTATAATCTTTAATTGAAAAAGGGTTCGAAAATTATAATATTACCTAATAATCATCTTTGATCTCTAAAAAAAACATTTCCTTCATTGGTTAGCTAAAATTTCCGTTGGAGTTCTGTTCATGATGACCCCATGTATCTCCATGTCAAATGTAATGTAATATTACTGTACAATCTTTGAGAAAATTAGATGTAAAGTCAGCTCAAATGACATTTTGATATTCATAATATCCCAATATTTGACATTTTATAAAAATGAATCCTTAAGAGGTTATGTCAATATTTCACTGGATTCTTGTTTATGACGACCCTCACTATGTACATGAATATTGTCATGAAATATTACTGTACAGTTTTTGAGAAAAGTAGATGTAAATTCAGCTCAAATGACATTTTGATATTCATAATATCCCAATATTTGACATTTTATAAAAATGAATCCTTAAGAGATTATGTCAATATTTCACTGGATTCTTGTTAATGACGACCCTCACTGTGTACATGAATATTGTCATGAAATATTACTGTACAGTTTTTGAGAAAAGTAGATGTAAATTCAGCTCAAATGACATTTTGATATTCATAATATCCCAATATTTGACATTTTATTAAAATGAATCCTTCAGAGGTTATGTCAATATTTTAATGGATTATTGTTAATGACGACCCTCACTATGTACATGAATATTGTCATGAAATATTACTGTACAGTTTTTGAGAAAATTAGATGTAAAGTCAGCTCAAATGACATTTTGATAGTCATAATTTCCCTGTATTTGACATTTTATTAAAATGAATCCTTCAGAGGTTATGTCAATATTTCACTGGATTCTTGTTTATGACGACCCTCACTATGTACATGAATATTGTCATGAAATATTACTGTACAGTTTTTGAGAAAATTAAAGGCAAAGTCAACTCAAATGACATTATGATATTCATAATGTCCTCATATTTTAAACTGTTAAATCAAGATATGATAAGATAATCCTTTATACCTTTTTAAACAGTTCATTAAGAGGTTCTAGTACATTTTCAATGGATTCTTGTTCATGATCACTCCGACTATGTCCATTAAAAATCCCATGTAATTTTGCTGTATGTCTAATGTTTTGATTGTCTATATTATTAAGCTCAGTAAAAGCCTTGGTCTTTTGTGTCATTTTGGACATATATAGCTCTACCTACCTCTACGTACCTCCTTAGTGTGGTGGTGATCAAAGGCATTGTTCTAAAACTAATGTATTTGGATTCGGATTCAGTTGGAACACATGCGCATTAATTGTTTTCTAATTGTCAAGTTTCAAAGAAAAACTTTTAATGATAAAAACACAACATGAAATGCAAAACATATCTGACCACCCTCTTCACACAGACAGATATAGCAAGGGGGCATATAAAAAGAGACAAAAAACATAACAAATACTGTATGTGGATTTAATTGTTGCACAAACAGCATTTCCAGTCTTTGTTTTTTATTTTTAAAAGCAGGGATTTTTCCATCTGCAGGCTATCGGCATGGAACCATCTGTTACAGCTGTCACACTGAATCTGAAAAAGGATCAAATTGAAACAACTTAGTAAAGACAGACTTCAAACAGGAATTCACCCCAAAAGCAAACTTTATTTAAATTTGAAATTATTTTCATCATTTAATCAAATGGGACATTGTTATTGTCATGGTCATAGCTTTTACAATGTTGTTTTTATTGATTGACAATCAACAATAGGACAGGTCCTATATCTGAATTTGCCAGCTGCCATGGTGCAAATGCAAGGAAAAGAGCAAGGCAGAGTATATGGACATATCAGAGTGGCTTGGTGCAGATGATAGCAAGTGTTCCTTGAGATTGTGATGGACAATGAAGCCTCTTTGTCCTATGTATTTAGTTAATTTGAAATTGCACACATATTCCTGGAAACTCAAAAGAAGGTACACCAATCTTGTTTGCATTGCCAAGATTAAAACAAGAGGTGCCCTAGTGTTAGAGGAGTAAACCGCAATATCACTGATATGACTCTGAATGGCGACCTTTGTAACATGACATTCCCATTCTCTCTCTACCCTCATTTCCTGTCAGCCCTCTACTGTCCATTCTCAATTAAATCTACAAAATGCCAAAACAAAAACTCAGATCCATTAACAAATGCACAAATACAATTAACTACAACACCTTACCCATTCAGTGATAGCAGGTCCTGGAGTGGGTAGCTTTGTGGCAGAACACATGGCACAGTTGTTTTCGATGTCAAAAACTAATTTAGAAACATTTTAGATCTTTAGTAGTACAATATCACAGTATAAATAAATATGAAGAAATGCTGTCACACACCTGATGCTTTGAGTATTTTAAGTGCCACGTGTCGACATTCCTGCACCATCTCTTTTCTTGTTGTCCCAAAGGCCATGTTAGGTGTTTTATATGAATTAAAATAGAATATTTAGGTAGATAACAAAAAAAACAGCTGGTAGGAGCAAAAGGAATATCCTCGTCTTGGCTGTTTTCTCAGATGTTTTTCCTGGATATGTTATTTTTTTCTGTCTGTTAGCATCAGTTGTGTTTGTATGTGTTGGAATTTAACAAATTAGCCTGCATTAAATGTATTTAAGTACTGCACATAAGTAACATTTTTACATTTACTTAATTTTGTCTTGTGAAAATTGTAAAAAATTGAATACAGTTTCACTTGATTATGCAATAAAACCCGCATTTTAAAAAAACATTCTAAGGGTAATACATTTACCATTTTGTAAAAAAGATTGTTGTAACACAAACATCAAAGGGTACACACAAATGTCAGGACAGTGACACACTCATGCCTACATGCAGACACACACACAAAACACAAAGACATAGCTCTATCTTTATGCAATCATGATTAGGCTCATTTGTACTGGATAGAAAGACAGACAAAATTATTGCAATTGCTATAAAGTTTTATCTTTAATTGTCATTGTGACGACCCCTCCCTTCCACCAGGGCTCTGTGTCCTGTTTTCAGGTTGTCTCTTTCAGGATGGTAATCTGCTGCTGATGAGCCACACCTGGGCCTGCTATAGGTCCCAGCTATAAAAGCTGACACTCTTCTTTGGCTGGGGGTCTCTCCTCTCTAACTGGCTGGCTGGCTGGCTGGCTGGCTGGCTGGCTGGCTGGCTGGCTGGCGTTGCGGCCTTTTGAGCCGGATCGTGCTTAAGTGACTAATTTTTAAATAAGCCATCAGGTAAAAAGCAAGCACAGCATATAGCTTAACAATACAACAATTTTCAAACATACAAACAATTCAGTTCTAACTAACAAAATCTACTCAAGAAGAAGCCATAGTGGCAAGAACTTTACCAGCATTCACAAAAAAGACAGCTAGCCACAGATAGTCTAAGAAACACTTTTCTTCTAAATGCTTAAGTACATTAAACTACAAACACACTTGAAGCTGCTGTAACCATAAACACAAGAGTTAAGGCTGTGTCTTTCAAAAAATGTCCAGGATTTTAAATTGGCCACAGCCCATATTCCTAGGCAGTACCCAGGACATCATCCACTTGCTATTTTCACTAAATAGCTCCTTTAGTCTTGTTGCAAGACCACTTCCGTGTCCAACAGATTTGTAGAGCCTCATCATATTAACGACACTGTCGAAGTCATGGTCCAAGTAAAGCATTGCCATGTCTTTATCAAGGCTTAACTGCACAATATATGACAGCAATTCTGTTGGCAGGAAAGTTTCTTGTAATCTCTAAAAAATGTGTATTTATAACCTGTCATATAGGATTATGTTTTATAAAATGTCAAATATTGGGATATTATGAATATCAAAATGTCATTTGAGCTGACTTTACATCTAATTTTCTCAAACTGTACGGTAATATTTCATGGAAATATTCATGTACATAGTGAGGGTCGTCATTAACAAGAATCCAGTGAAATATTGACATAACCTCTTAAGGATTCATTTTTATAAAATGTCAAATATTGGGATATTATGAATATCAAAATGTCATTTGAGCTGAATTTACATCTAATTTTCTCAAACACTGTACAGTAATATTTCATGACAATATTCATGTACATAGTGAGGGTCGTCATTAACAATAATCCATTGAAATATTGACATAACCTCTTAAGGATTCATTTTTATAAAATGTCAAATATTGGGATATTATGAATATCATAATGTCATTTGAGCTGAATTTGCCTTTAATTTTCTCAAAGATTGTACAGTAAAATTACATTACATTGGACATGGAGATATATGGGGTCATCATGAACAGAACTCCAACGGAAATTTTAGCTAACCAATGAAGGAAATGTTTTTTTTACAGATCAAAGATTATTATTAGGCAATATTATAATTTTCGAACCCTTTTTCAATTAAAGATTATACAGCAGTGTAATTTCAGATTTTTTTATTGTTGGATTCCATATAATGTACAAAATGACGTTGTTTTTTTAACAAATTGGGCAAATTATTGATGAAATATAGGTATATTTCCGGGCTTTTTGGGCTATCCAAGCACCCGTACCGTAGCACCACGAATAGACGAGCATTACATTTCAAGTGCCGGCTGACGTGACCGAGGTTCCGCGGATGACGGACCACATGACCGCAGTTCTGGAGCGGGGCTAAAGTGAGCGACAACAGCTCAACGACGGACGAGCTGTTGTAAGGACGAGAAACCGACGCGTCCGCGACATTATTGGACCAGCTAGATTAATGCGGCTAGAAAAACCCCACAGTGGTGACGTTTAATGTTAGCACCCGTTAGCCACGACGCTACGGTGAATGATGAAAAGCCAGCGGGACTCTTACTTGGTTGTCGGGACGCGCGGGATGGAACTTAGGTATAAAATACTGTGATAGGGTTTGTTATGGGACGGGCGAGCCTTGAGGATGGGGCGGACTACTCGGAGTGGGATATGTGTTTATTCACATGAGTTATGCTTTCATAAGGTGGAAAGTGTGTTTTTCCACAGCTGCTGATGTCCATACACGTCAGCACCCCCCAGACAACGGTAGCATTCATACATTTATTACTCTCCATTCACCGCAGAGCTAAACTCTCCGTGGGATAAGCGGCCATGGCTGTGAAATCAAGAAGACCGTGGACGACCGTGATTTTCGGCGTCTTTCTCGGATTCACCGTGTCCTCTTGGCTCATCGTGCCTCAGGTTCTGGAGAGTAAAGGGAAGAAATCTCCCGTGTGTTCGTACTACAGCGAGTCCTCCGTCGGTAAAGGTCCCGCCATCCTCGGGAACACTGCGGCTATCAAAGACCGGGACAGCCCGCAGATCAGTCAGGAGGAGGACGGGGTATCCGGTACCGGGAACAGCAGCGGAGACACCGGGAGACCCACGAGCAGACCGAAGCGTTTCCTCTATGTCGGCGTGATGACAGCGAAGAAATATGTGAGGTCTCGCGCCGTGGCTGCGTACAAGACCTGGGTGGGCTCCATACCCGGGAAGGTGGAGTTCTTTTCCAGCGCTGGGTCTGGCGCCGTCCACGTGCCCGTCCCCCTCCCGGTCGTCTCGCTGGCGGATGTGGACGACTCGTACCCGCCTCAGAAGAAGTCATTCATGATGCTGAAGTACATCCACGACCACTACCTGGATAAATACGAGTGGTTCATGCGCGCGGATGATGACGCTTATATAAGAGGTGATTATTCTGGGAGTGAAGCTCGCGGTTCAAGTGTGTGTGTGTGTGTGTGTGTGTGTGTGTGTGCGTGTGTGTGTGTGTGTGTGTGTGTAAGAGAGGTACAGGGACCCCCATAGTCCAAATGTAAACATGGTTTCATACATATTCATGAGGAGATATTATGTTGCGTGTAGTCAAATATGAACCACAGTGTTTTGAAAAAATCCATACATTTACACTTAACACTCACCATAAACCCTGACCAAAAAGCTGAACCTCATTTAAAGTGATTCTACACATTAGTTATCTGAAAGCACGACTCATATTCTTGACACACAAATCCCCCAAACACATACAATAAAAAGGCAAAACTCCAAATACAATCTCGTGAAAAAGGAACTGCGTTCATAAAAATGACATGTCTCCTCAAAATGGTATTGTTCAAGTGACTTGTGTTAAAACAAAAGGTGAACATTACCACCCAAACCCTCCGTTGTACACTTCCATCACAGTTTACAGACTTCCACGTTGGTAGTTGCAGTGATGTTTTGGGTGCAGTTACCTGACCGATCACATGACTGCTGGTGTCTCTTGACCCATCAGACTTCTTTTTAATAAGATGGGTCAGAGGATAGAGGCTGTCCTATGATTTACATCATTTGTGAGAGAAATTGGCGATATTGTGCTTAATTAATAAAATTGGCTTTATTTTATTTTATTATTTATTTTTGTCAAGGATCTATGTATTAATGCTGGGACAACATTCCATTAACGTCTCTGTTGTTTAATTTGACCACATGTGTCTGTTGATTTCCTGATTTGTTCTGTTTTGTTCAATAAAATTGATTGATTTCATTAATAGTACTGAAATAAGACCTAAGGTTTCACAAAGCTAAACCATTCCTTAACCTAAAACAGGTTATTTAATAACATTACCATTAGCTATAGAAGTATGCAGGTTTACTGGTCTCCTTTGTTCATGTGATTAAGGTGAGACTGAAGATGTAGTCAAATCACATTTTATTGCTCATTATGATGATTCATGATGCTACTCATTTTTAATAAAATGACCTTCATTTTGCTGATTAGCTCTTCCGGATGAGTGATTATAAGACACTTGAGCTGTGTGTTAGGAAGGGAACCTTTTGTGCGGCTGACGTGTTTGTAGAGACAAAGTTATCCAAGTTATGTTCAAGTGGACATTTTGTCTTATAATTCCACATTGGCTGGGAACTTATATGTGCATGACACAAACAATAAATGTATAATATATCATTATTTTGTTAGTTTTATTTTTTTTTCTATTTTTTGCAATTTTTAAAACTAACGATGGATTTGTTGCGTTGCTACTTGCATTATGAGATGAATAGCCCAGTATGACAGTATTAAAAAAAAAAAGCACATTAATTCCTTCAACTTCGCCCTCTGCCAGGTGAGAAGCTGGAGTTGTTCCTGCGGTCGCTGAACAGCAGCAAGCCTCTGTATCTGGGCCAGACGGGCCTGGGCATGGCCGAGGAGCTGGGCCGACTGGCCCTCGAGCCCGGAGAGAACTTCTGCATGGGGGGCCCTGGGATGATCTTCAGCAGAGAGGTTCTACGCAGGATGGTCCCTCACATCGGTACCTGTCTGAGGGAGATGTACACCACCCACGAGGACGTGGAGGTGGGCCGCTGTGTGCGGCGCTTTGGAGGAACACAGTGTGTGTGGTCCTATGAGGTATGGGTTGAGTCTGCCTTCATGTTCTTTCAGGTTCCTATAGGAAGGGGGGGGGTTAGATCAGTTCTGCTGGAATTCAGGTGTTAATTCTGGTGCACTTTTCAGGTATATAATAGTATAAATTCCAATGAAAGGATTTCCATACAGATTTAGTGAGTCTTCAAGCAAACACTTGGTGATAGACGATCATGGCAAAGCCAGTCCACTTTCAGGGCGCTTATGGGAACATTGTTCAGTTGTATTGTCTGTGGAGTTGTTTATGTGGACAAGGAAAAATATTCGTTTTCTAAACTGTCTCAAAAATATTCAGTGAAATGAGGTGAATTGTTGGGTCATCAGGCTGCTGTCGTACCCACTGCTCCTAAATGCTGTTTGGTTAAATGCAAAGGTGAAATTTCATGTATGCATGTGACGATTAAAATAAAAGACGTTTAAGTTAAGTTAAAGTACATGAGCCACTCTGAGAACGAAACAAGCCTTCTGTTTAGTTTCAAGTTGCTTGAGCTTTTTTTCAGCATATTGAATAGAAGTTTGCAGCACATTGATGATGAATGTGGAAACACATACCAGTGGTTGTACTTTACTGGTTTTAATGACTGTACACAGCACTTCTTATCCTTATTTTGTATCTGCATATCAGCGTGGACCAATCAGGTCACACTATAAAATGACATCAATCAAGTATCATAGTCACATCATGGCACCATAGGCCTATAAGTGCTGGGCAAGTTAACGCATTATTATCGCATTAACGCACTAATCAATTAACGTCGACAATTATTTTATCGCGCGTTAATGCAGTTTTTAAAAACATTATTTTTAGTTTGAAAGTTTGTTGCTTACTGGCTCTGAATACACATACAGACATACCATGGGTCACAGCAGGGGTGGAATGTTGAGATGGGCGTCATCACGCATCTCAACCAATGAGAGCATTTGGGGTGGGCGCTGCGGCGTGATAGCCTATCATCGTTGAGATGCTCCCCTGTCATCACTGACGTCGAATCAGGAAATAAATACTGTAGCCGTCTGTGTTCACCCAGAGCTCTATGATACCTCATATTAGTGGAGACCGGACCAAACTATGTGTATAAATGTTTGTCTACAAACTATAATATGGTACAAACAATGAATAGACGCTGCCGTATTTACGCCTATGTGACGTTATGTTGAGTGTTGATGGAGCTGCTACAATGTTAGCTTAGCCTAGCACCGATCGATCCAGACTCCATTGAGAAAACAAGTATTTTAAAAGTTATTTGGTTGTCGTCTTGTGGAGACAACGAACAGAACATGAATTCAGACTTTTTACAAATCGACATCATTACGTAGTTATTTCGGAGTCCCTTTTTGTCTGTTTATTGCAGTTAAATCACAGCCAAATCAGTTTATTTTGTGTTCATACAGCTGTAGTAAACAGCCGACGTGTGGCTTGCTAGACTCAGTGAATACTAGATAAAATCCACGGAGCTCTTCCGGATGATATTATGAACCCAGACAAGGTGGCGTTTAGTTTCCTGACATCTGGGACTTCCACAACACGTACTAAGCAGTCTAATCTGGGGAAGATTTTCGATTCAATTATAGTAGCTTAAATTATTCATAGAATATTATTTCAACACACATTGCTTTTTTGTTGTGTTGATTTCATAAAATATATATGATATACAAGAAATATTTTAACTGCTACTGTGTAAAGGGAATACTGCTGTTAAAAAGCACCTTATTTGCAAACCAAATGTTATTGCACTTTTGTTCATATAGCAGTACTTTTAAAATTAAAGTGCGCAATACACTACTTTAGAATTCATTATTGAATTTTGTGCATAACAATACGATTAATCGCAGAAAAATCATGCGATTAATCATGATTAAAATGTTAATCGTTGCCCAGCACTAATATATATATATATATATACTGTATATACAGTATATACTGTATATATATATATATATAGGGCCTGGATTCAAGTGAGGAAGACAGTGTGCTGGATCAGTTCTGTATTTTTGACCATAGCCAGTGTGCGGGGTCTACGAGACCCCTTGATTGACACTTGAGACCCCCTGAAAGCCTCAATAGCAAAATTCCGGGGGGTCTCTAAAACCACAAGAGATTTATTTGTCACCTACAATTGTCACTAAAATGTCTTTCAAAAGCTTACTAATGCCCAGCAACTGCAACCGGATATGAATCCGTTGGATTTTACATGTTGTAAGCAAAATCATGAATAACAACAATAGATTTGAAAACAAGATATGTTTTTTATGTAGAGGAAGACAAAATCAGTGCCACATTAAATATACATACATTTGAACCTAGATTACCTTTTTACTGTTTCATCCTTCTTTACGTCTCCGTCATTTTGTTTCTTAATTTGTTAATTGATCGATATAGTTGATTGATGTTTGATTTTTATGCGATTCACCCCTCATATGGCCTGCACTCTTAAATGCATTTTCCTCTTTTTTGATGGTGCTGCCTAGTAGATGTTTCAATACATCGGTCAGTTGAATACCATCTGTAGCTCAGTGTGGTAGAATGGTTTGACAGTGCCGTTTGTACTGGTACCAGGTTCGTGCTCTTATCAAGGATGTTGCAACTCTCTCCACAGATGCAGCAGCTCTTCTATGAGAACTACCAACACAACAAGAAAGGTTTCATTGAGGAACTTCACAGTAGCAAGATCCACAATGCCATTACGCTTCACCCCAACAAGAAGCCCGCCTACCAGTACCGGCTCCACAACTTCTTGCTGAGCCGTGAGATCTCCAGGCTTTGTTACCGCACCATCCTGCTCCACCGCCAAGGCCTGGTTATGAGTTACCTCAGTGACACAGAAGTCCTGTGGGAGGACCAGCAGCTGGGGTCCCCACCTTCCTACATGCGCTACAAGCCCACTGAGAGAAATTATGTCATCGAGTGGGATTTCCTGACTGGCCACCATATTTATTCTGCTGCGGAGAACAAAGTAGCCAGGCAAAGCCTTGGGAACTCACTTCGGACTGCACTCGAAGGCATCATTCTCCAGGTGATGGAGATGATTAACGAGAATTTGAAAACTCGTGGTCGTGTAATTGACTTTAAAGAGATTCAGTATGGCTACTACAGGGTGGATCCAATGCATGGTGCAGAATACATCATAGACTTACTGCTTCTGTACAAGAAACATAAGGGACGCAAAATAACAGTGCCTGTGAGGCGGCACGCTTACCTTCAGCAGTCCTTCAGCCAACCCTTCTTTACCGAAACTGACGAGCTAGATGTGGCTGAACTTGTGGCTGCCATCAACTCTGAATCCCAATCCCTTTCTTTCCTGTCCAACTCTCTGAAGTTCTTGTCACCTTTCCAAGTCTATGAATCAAACAGGGAACTGTGGGAGCAGAGCCAGAGGAAGGTCAACATCCTTGTCCCATTATCCGGTCGCTATGACACCTTTGTCCGCTTTATGGAGAACTTTGAGAAGGTGTGTTTGATACCCAAACAAAATGTTAAGCTCTCCATCATTCTGGTGGAAAATGGGAGCGATCAGAACCAAGGCAAACACAGTCAGTTAATCAGAGACTACTACAGGAAGTATCCCAAAGCTGACCTGTCCCTAATCCCCATGACAGGCAACTTCTCACGAGGACTGGCTCTTGAGCTGGGCTCCTCGCAGCTTGATAATGACTCCCTACTCTTCTTCTGCGATGTTGATCTCATCTTTAGTGGTGATGCCTTGCAACGCTGCAGAGACAATGCTGTCCAAGAGAGACAAGTCTATTTCCCAGTTGTCTTTAGTCAGTACAACCCCAAAATAGTGTACTCTAAGAAGGCCCCGAGAGAAAACAAATTTGTGCTGACCAAGAAAAGTGGTTTCTGGCGAGATTACGGATTCGGAATCACCTGTGTATTCAAAGGTGACTTACTAAAAGCTGGAGGTTTTGACACCTCAATCTTAGGTTGGGGACTGGAAGACGTAGACTTGTTCACAAAAGTTATTAACTCTGGTTTAAAAGTGTTGCGCAGTCAGGAACCAGGACTTGTCCACGTCTATCATCCCGTCCAATGTAACACAAGTCTCGAGCAGAGGCAACACAAAATGTGCCTCGGGTCGAGAGCAAGTACGTTTGCATCGACAATGCAGTTAGCAGAGCTGTGGCTGGAGAAACACATAGAGGCGGGGTACAACAGAACTTCATCCTGACACTCCGGCCCTACGGAACCCTCCATACAAGTTTACCTCAGTTCTGCTTGTATGCAGACAGCGATGGATTGTGTGTGTGTGTGTGTGTGTGTGAGTGTGTGTGTGTTGTAGTGTGACTGTGGATCAGAGGTCTTAGGCTGTAATATTTGACCCGGAGAGAACCCTGAAAGCAGTAGACCCAACACCGAAGGAATCCAGAGAAAATAGTACACAAACAGAACAGAGTCTAGGATTACAGCCTGTGCAAAACAAGTGTCTGCTACCTTATCTAGTTCTAGACCACTGACTAAATACAAATTGGCTGTTGGTTGGTACATTGGACATTATACAGAGTTATTCATGTGGAATTTGCTGTGACAATGATGCAAATATTGAGCTTTGGGACTTTTATTGCAGTTCCTTCGGGTGTGGGTTAGAGGTAGCTAACTCAACAACAAAAAATAATATATATATATATATATATATATATTTATATATTTATAATAATATATGATATATGTATGTGTTGCTGGATTCAGTACCCGACACCACCTGCAACGCAGTTAACCTGTAAATTGAATACTCTGCTCTTCCCGAGTGAAGTGATTGTGGAATGTGGATGGCTGCTGTGCAATAAGCAGCATTGTCTGCTGCTTTACACAATCGGTATGTGTGTGTGTGTGTGTGTGTGTGTGTGTGTGTGTGTGTGTGTGTGTGTGTGTGTGTGTGTGTGTGAGAGTGACCTGGCCAACTTCAGTGCACCACCTTGAATCTACTTCAAAGCTAAGGTAATCTTGAGAAACTAGCAACAGTCTGCCAGATTTGACAAATTATCCAACCAAAACACACAGCCCAGTAGCTAGCAGCACTAGCTCCAAAAGTTAGTCAATCTAGAAAGAAAGACGCCAAGTCGACAAAACACTGACAGCCCACCCCTTCAGGCCTCCCTCCAAAAACACTCACCCAAAATGATCATAATCAACCTAAACAACAAACATGGCTATTGTCGGTACTCACAGCTGTTATGCTTGCAGGTTTTGGAAGACTATTGTGAAGAGTAATTAGTGCACGGGAAGAATATGTGCAGGCAGGCAGTCATTACATTAAGGTCGAATGAAATGATTGGATGGGCTGCGACAGACATAACCGGATTATTTCCTTTTTTTTGTCAGAGCATTTCATTGATTGATTGCTGTCAGGATGTAACAAGAATTCAACAAAAATATCAGAAATGTTTTTGAAGATTACCAACCCTAGCTTTAATCTCCAGGTGAACCTTTTAGACATTCCCTCCTGCAGGCCTGAATCTGAGGCTGTTTGGTCTCAAGTCTAGTTGTTTTCTCTCTGACCTATACTAGCCATCATTTGTTTACTTTATTTAACTAGTGCAGTGCCCGTTCAGAACATACCTGTTCAGAACGAGCTGAATGCACTGCCCTTGGTCCTTCTCGAGAATCGCTCATACGAACAACTTCACACTCAACAGTGCGCTTCCTTGGGTCCTGAGCAGTACCATAGACTGTATATAAGTAGTGGACGTAGTCCTTGTGACGTCACCCATTGGTTTGTGGACGGATGTTTTGAAGCCTTGATTTTGGTAATTTCGCCGTCACCATCTTGGCTTTTTTGCAAGCGATGAACAGAAGTTATCATATTTGGAATGTGGAGGAGTGACGTAGAGACGGTGTATACGTCTCTGGTAGCGGCAATAACCTGTCAATCACAGTAGCCTCGCCCCTAAAGCACACCCTGCTTTATGGTCTGTTTGACTCTAAATGGACCAGACTTTACTAAATGAACATCATGCTGTATTGAAGAAGACTTGAAACTAGAGATTGAGACCATAAACTCATGTTTACAATGTTTACTGAGGTAATAAATCAAGAGAGAAGTAGAGTCATTTCCTCATCGACATCTATACAACCAGAGGAGTCGCCCCCTGCTGGTCAGTAGAGAGAATGCAGGTTTTAAGTCACTCGGCAGATCCGGAGATTGCTGCCTGAGCAGTACATCTGCCATGGCATAGGCCCAAACCCAATACATCCATTGCCCCTACCACTTAGCCTACCCCTCCGTTTAGCTCATTAACGTGTAGGGGTAGGGTGTCCAGATTCTTCTTGTGATAGAGGGCTAGTGTGAAGCAAATTAGCTAGTATGCTGTTGTCTCTAGCTAACGTCACAGCGTTGTGTTAAGGCTGATCTGTACATGACAGTACAGCATTCAACATATTTCCATGTTGCATTCCCCCGTTGAAGTAAACACTTGAATGCAGGGCTTCACTGTGCGGTATTAATAGTGTTAACTTTAGAAACATTTTTGATGGCGATCAAGTTGGATGCTTGGACATCAAATCTCAAACTATGAATGTGTTAAGTCACATGGGGAAAAGATCTTGGAACACACTATTCACAAGCAGCACAGTCATGGTACTCCATAGCCCGAGACATGCTGACATGCCGAGATTTAATTTAGAATAGAATAGAATAACTGGACTCCATCACGAATGTCAATGTTGGGTCTTACGGATGGTAACTGTTGGAGATGCAACCAAAGACAGGGGCGTGTTGGTCCACATACTATATGAATGCAAAATGGTACATGACTGCTGGTCAGCTTTTGTCAGATGTATTAACAGCATACTGGAAACTGTTTGAGGGTCAAGCATTAGGCATATTGGGTGTCTTGCCAGTGGAGGGCTAACCTGCCCTCACAATTATGTTCTTGGGTGAAACTTGCTCTCATAACGGAAAGCAGAAACTTCGGTGAAAGCAGATTAGTTGCTTGCTTTGTCATAACCACTGCAGATATAAAGTAGAGCACGGATTTAATGAGTGGAGATATTTTGCTTGCGGTAGAGTTACGTTAGTGTGAGTAGAAATGGCAGAGTGGCACTGTTCCTGTGTAGGCTATCCGCTAGCATTAGCAGGCTATATCCAGGATCCATGACCAAAAGTGAACTGCCCTGAAGCTCCGCCCCCGCTGCTACACAGAGCGCTGGTAGCTTGTGTATTCAAAGTTTATTCATATTGAATGTGTCGCTTCCATAGGGTCCTCAGCCATACACCCGCAAAGTGTGAAGTAAATTGGATAAGCAGTTCTCGAGATATGCAAAGAACAGACAGATTCCTTTATAATAACTTCATAGTGAGATGCCAAACCATGGCGGCTCAGCAGCTCTATGCTGTCCTCCTGACAGGACTGTATCCTTCCATTAATCGGAAATGCTGAAATCCCATTTCTGAAACTTTTCGTTTGAAAAGTGGAGCATGTGTAGTGTAGATGTGCTTTTTACCTGACCCACTAAGCACCGATTTGCAGGTCAAAATGTGTATATTTTAGTCCTTATTTAGGACCATCGCATTGAAAGATGTGAAATGCTGTTGAAGAAACAGTTAAATGTAACCTAAATGTCACAAAATGTTGAGCATTCTATCAATTGATCCCAGTTGTATAGACATCTAGGTGTTTTATGAGTGCTTACTGGGGAGCCACTGGACAGACTGAGGAACAACATTTGACTACACAGAGGAGCATTCGAGCTAATGTGCTTTACTCCCAGGTGTGTGGGATGATTTTTTTAATAAGGCCATTATGTTGACAGGGACGGTGCCACGTTGAGTGCCAACTGGTTGACTCCACCACTGCTCACTAATGATGTCATAAACATCCGTTTAAAGCCATAGAAAGAAGAATGCAGACGTTTGCACAAAACAATTTATATTCGAAAATCTTCTGCATTGACCAACATAGGCAGCATAGCTGCCTCCAGGCCAAAATGCAATCTAAAATACTTGAAGACATGGCTCAAGGAAAAAGTGTTTAAAGGTGGGGCGAGACGCCATGAACTTTACAAATGGGGTCTCTCTTTCACGGTTGTTCTCACGGTTGTTCACTGAGCGTCAAATTGCAAAGTTCCAAAAATGATTGGACACAGCCCTTCCTGGGCACACTCAGACAACATAATGAAGCTTCAGTCAAGACAGCATTTCTATTTTTCATTTGCTGAATTATGATGCAACATGTTTGGCTTTTCTCTGGTCAATCCAAATTTTTGACGGTCCTGACACCTTTTTCAGACTGAATGGAATCGTTGCAGATCACGGTGTTTTTGCAGGGTCAGTTCCTCTGATGGTACATTCAGAGAGCCATAATGTGTTTTTCTTTCATTCAGTTCTATGCCATCGTGCTACGCAAAGGTTTTCTCATTCATTACTTAGTGGTTTCTCCTGGACTTCAATTCATTATTACTGTATTAGCTCATTATTAGTTATTATGACGTTTACAGTACTGCCTCAGGACCACAGGTGACCACCCACTGCATTGCAGCCTTTTGCTTTTACGAATATGGTGCCCACTGCCGATTGTGTGTTTAGTAAAAAGGAATCATCTGGCAAATAATATCTGGAACAAACTGGCAAAAACAGCTTTGAATTAGCCTCGTTCCTATGGAAGGGTATCGCTGCCCCTGTGACTGAATGTTGCTTGGATACTGAATGTACAGAAACTCTTCTTGTTGTAACATTCATCATGAAAAACTGAGCGGATCATTTTATTTTTGCTGTTTTCAGACCTCTGACTTGTTGTACTCTATTTATTCAGCAATACAAAAACATGAATAATAAAGTGAAAAATGCCAGTTGAGTGTGATCATCAGGCTGTATTTAAGTGGTAGTTGGTGAGCAAAGCTCACATTTACAGCTAAATATATTGGTAATTATGTAATCTGAATATTTATAAATATATTTTTTGAGGAAAAGAAAGAATTAAAAGCTCTACAGATTCACGGCACGAGAATCCATAAACATTTTCTGTATCACATTTCTATGGAAACACATTGCAGAAAAGATTCTATCTCATAATTACACAAAACTATCTCCAGCTATAATGATAAGTTAGTTTTCTCATAATTATGAGGTACTAAGCCATAATTACAAGTTTGTTTGTTTTTTCCTTTGGTGAATGCAATGCACTTCTACAAATGTTACGACTCGTATACATATATTCTGTCAGGAGTACGTTTATGCTTTCCTTACCCACGTATCTGCCAGCAATAACAATTGCTTTTAATAAATGTTTGTACACAGATGCTGAACTCGTTTTCATTTTGTACAAGAAGCTGAATTGGTGTTTTTGTAAGATACACGCACGCTGGAGCAGAAGACCATTCTTCACAATTTCAGAGTAATAACTTTCATTCAAAATATCTTTAAGATTCTTTAATAAACCTACATCTTCAGCTAAGCCACTCTGTGCACACAACACTAAAATCAACGAGAAGATTTTGCAAGAAATGTTGACAGTGTGGCTGCTACTGCCCGAAGACGTTGCAATATATATACGTCAATATCACCAGTAGTAAGATCTCATATATCATTGAGATTCATTTGAGATATCACTTCTCTCATTTTAGATTCATACTCTTGTATTAAATATTGTATTTGTGATG